GAGCATCATGCTTTCTTCGGATTTGTATTTTATGCAATTTGAAGGAAGTTATGAAGAAAAAACGAAAAAAACGCGGATCGTCACTTTTTGCGTTTTCTGTCGAATAATTAGTGTGGGTACTGTACTGTAGAGGTTGTATGCGTAATTATAATTGAAAAAGTGGGCTGGTCCGTAAAAAGGCCTTGGTCCCAAAAGGCAGACAACTAAAAATTTGCACGGTCGTCAATGTGTTGATTAAAATTAGGTTGATGCAAAAATAACGGCCGTAGACTACGAGTTCTTGAAGCTAGAAGTGATTTTTCTTGAAAATCAAAACAGATACCATCTGATATCTTACAGCCGTGTTTCGGAGGCTTTGTTATACACAATACATAAATTTTAGGAAAGGGGCGGAGTCGGAGGCGATGTTTGTCATTTTTCAGTTTCCGTTTTTTCTCGAAATCTAAGTGTGACAGCAAGTGCATAAACGATTGTCACTATGTGTATACTATGTGATGTCTAATCCGGAAGACTTGTAGAATATCTCTGGGCGAAGATTCGATTTTTGGGCTGGCCAGATGCTCACAGATTTCGGGTCAAAATTAGCGATGACCAAATTTTTGAGTGAATATTTTTGAAATTCGCTTTGTAGAGCTTGCTTATTTTTATCAATGGTACCTTATTTATTCTCATCATCACATGCTTTGGTAGAGTATGCTATAGACACTTTTCGCATCAACCTAATAGTAAAACCATGTCTGCGCATTACAGCTCATTTAGGCAGCTTTCAAAAATTTCGCGTCACATTCTAAGCAGGGCTCGGCACAGGTGGCTTGCAAAGCAAGCTGGATATTGTTTTTGGGGAAAAAGCAAAGGGGAGATCATTTTTGCGGAAGAGCATAACGCTGTCTTTTGATCTGCTGCCGGCACGCTGCCGGCATGCCGCCAGCAAATAAACAAAGGGTTTGTTTACAGCGAAGTGAAGATGAAATGGCCAAAATAGGTGTGTTGATGGGCATGGGGAGTGGGGACATTGTATGATAAGTTATGAAAAAATTATGTGAACTAAGGGCATGGCAAACTTTTTTCGGGGTTAGGCGGCTTTCAAGCCACCTGGATAGCCACTGAGGTGGCTTAGGGCAAACAAATTCATATAATTCCTGTTCTTCACACAATTTTTTCAAATTTTTTACATAAAAGTAATCTAAATCTAATATTCTACAAGACAGCTCTTGTACCTCCCCAAACCCTCTCCTCCCCGCCTAGTTTAGCCCTCCAAAATATCTGGATGGCAGCGGCAAAGCTGCTCCAAGCTCGCGGTAGTGCACGGCGGACATAGCATGCCGCCAACCCGGAGAATACAAACAATCACTAGTTCTTATTGCCTATTTATTGTCGGTCTTGTATTCTGTTTATTTCTCTTTGTTTTCGTGTTTGATTTGTTCGTTAGCGTGTCAAGGGGGATGTCGTACTTTAATGGCGAAGTCAAGGATGACTTCGTTTTTTGCGTTTTCAACTAGCCACTTCGTGCCGAGCCCTGATTCTAAAGGAAAGGTGGGGGGAGGGAAGGAGGGGGGGGGGGGCGTTTCCATTGGTAGCCTGTAAATATAGCGACATCCTGCTCCTATGGCCCCAACAGCTGGAACCTCTTTCGAGCAAGAAATACTTTTCTGATGCTGTCCAAAAACCTTAAGTTATCTAAAGCATCAGCGCTCTTCCAAATAAGAGAACACCATTCGTAAGCTCTTATTCTCCCATTTAAAGTCACCAGTACATGTGACCGGGATGTCTTGAATGCCGATCACACTGAATAAAACGTACAATAAGCCCGATTTTGTTGGGGTTTTTTTGGATGACGGTGTTTTAGGGTCGGTCTTGTAAGGCTTTCCTGCTTCTTGGTTCTCTATTTTAGGCACTGCTAGCAAAATGAGAATCTCTCAGTGCAAGCGCATGACTCATTATCAAACAGACATCAACGAACTGGCGGAGACCAACTACGAAGTTATCGGCCATCAATAAGTAACTCATCGGTCAGTTATCGGTCAGTCAGCAAGTTATTTTTAATCAGCTTTATGGTTGGATAGATAAGCAAAAAACGTGAATATTGAAATGTGATGCCTTGGAATTCAAAGTCAGCTATGAAATAGACAGTTTCGGTCTGTATACATTGTCTGATCGTCAATAAGTTGTCGGTTTCGTGTATTATTCAGGGCGTCCCGAAAGTATGTATGCACTGTTTGGTAGTTAATATCTTCCTGAGAATTCTTTCACCTAGCTTAAAGTAGCATTTTGTAGAGCTTGCTTCAAATTAGATGTCAGATTTGTAATACGGAGCGAACCACGATTGCTTTTCATCACGAGAAGATAAGAATATTTGGCTTACAACGTCATTGTGGATCAGTCGAGCATTGAAATTTTTTTCAAAAATTCTGAGTGGGATGTCAGGGAATTTGCGGATTTCAATTCCCAACTTTTCAAGAGTTTGTAAAGCTTTTCAAATGGTGTAATCACAATTAAGGGAGCATTGTAAAGACAGCTTCCGCGTTTTACCTGGCGTAAGTTGTGAAGGATGCATTGCGGTATGATAGAAAATTCGTATTTGATTTTAGAGGCTCTAAATAGCGGGCTAAAAACACTTACACCAACGAATTAGGGTTGCTGAATCTAAATATGAATTTTGCATCTCATCATAATGCCACCTCAAAATGCCAGGTAGGCAGCTGCAGGTGATTTTTCCGGTCTTCGAAAAATATGGTCACATAGTTTAAAAAGCTTCACAATCTTGTACAGAGTTGAGTATTGAATCCAGCATCTACGAAAACCTTATCAGATGAGTTTTAGATCTTTTTTGAAATTGTTGAAACGGCGGCTTTTTACAGTGACGCCATTGCGGTTTTCCGCCGTAATCCGACAGTAACGAACAACGATCGTTGATTCGCTCCATACTAAAAATCTAAGTTGAAGCCAGCTCGCCTACAAAATGTTACCTGAGATGATGTCATATTTTTGGGACACCCTGTGTAATGTACTTGAACGCGCTTATGAGATATATGCTTTCAAGGTGTGAATTTAAATGTTTATTTATGCATTTTTAAAAAATTTCAAACAATGAATGCACAAATTTTTTTGAAGCTGAATCATAAGGCAACAGGATGATAGGCAACCATTGGGTTGTATGTACAACAGAAATCCAGATTTTCAGGTGTCAAAGCATATGGAGCACGTTAACGGGGAACAGACCATGATCCTGGATTCAGTGTGAGCGGCTGAAAATAGAGAACGCTAGGAAACATTCTGACATTCTTTCAAACATTTTAATGACGCATTATCCATAAGAATTCAACAGCAGCTAGATAAGCTGCTGTTGAATTTCTATGGATGATGCGTCATTAAAATGCTACATAGCAACGATTTGATTTCTTTAACACATTGACGACCACACAGAATTTTAGCTGTCTGCCCTCTGGGACCAAGGCCTTTTACGGATCAACCCACAAATCCTAACTATAATTGCGCATAATGCCATCTACAGTACACCTACAGTAGATCTGAAAGGCTGACAAAAAAGTAGAGGTCATCCCTGAACTTTATGCAAAAGAGAGCTAATGGAGTGAGTTTATCCCAATATAGTGGTCATTTCAACAAAATTCAAGCCTTGACACACATGGTGTGTCAAGCGGTCCCACGCGGTAGTCATTGCTTGACACACCATGTGTGTCAAGCTGTCGTCAATGTGTTAATAGGAGAATGAGTCAAAAGGGATGCATATTTTGCAGAACTCATTTCAATATATTATACAACATCAAAACTCTGCCTTACCGAAATCAACAAAACAGACACTAAACTTTTGCAACATACTTATTCACAAATGCGTACAAACCGTAAAATGGAAAGTACTGTAGTCACAAGCCAGTAGCGGAAATTTTTTCGTAAGCTCACATGTCTTAAACAACTTAGTCTGTCGCATTGAAAAACTAAGCAAAAGTATGCTAGTAAAAATGCTTTACGCACGCTCACATAGACGGACGAGAACATGTTCCGCTCAAAACTTTATTTGCGGAATCTGAGTGGCCTCATCTCTCAGTGAATGAATATGTAAAATGTGCACAATAATCCGCATTAGTGGAATTTTTGTGCATTTTTGGTACTGCAATTAAAGAGAGTGTTTATTTGAGCTTGAGTTTACCTAAAAGAGAGCTAAGAGATCTCGATTAGGGCCGTTGAATTCCTGTGAGATTTTAACATGTATAAAAGGAAGTATTGGAAAAATGTTAGGAACTGTTGTTTCGTATTGGAAGCAATAAACAAGGTTCGGCAAGAGATGGCTTTCCGAGCATGGAAAAAAACCGAAGTCCCTCTTGGCTTTAGCAAAAATTTTGTGAAGTCCCCCTGACCCTAAACGTATAGAACCCTCAAAAAACGAAACGCGGACTAAACGTCCAATTTTTATATCTTTTCGGCCACCCCAAGAAGGATATCCAGCTTGCTTATAAGCCACCTGTGGCGAACTCTGGCCATAAGTCGAGCATATTTATATACCATGTGAAAGTTGCTTCAAAAGGAAGTATTGGAAAAATGACCTAACTTCTATGGTTCAAAAGTTATTGCACATTCAGTGCTATGATACTATGCTTTAATGAAACGCACCTTTACAACTAGATCTGCTTTTCTAAAACTGCATGTAACTTTCGATGAATTCTCCATGCACCCCCATTCCAATCCTTCCTTCTTGGAGCTACCCTAAATTAGTTCTAAATAGATCAAATGTCTTATTCGTAACTCACAGTAGTGAAATAAAAAGATCGAGCTCCATGGGTCTAAGCGATAGAGGGAAAAGCAATGAAAATTTGACGCCAGAACTTTTTTTGCGTTAACAAGCTCCAAGAAACTTCGTAAAAAAATGTAGTCTTGTTTTTTATTTGTTACATGTATTTTAACGAATAATGCAATGTTTTCCTGTAAATAATCTGAGCTATTGGCTTTACCCACTGACCTACTAGTTACTAGTGATTTGGAAATTATCATAGCCTTACCCTACGAATGTTGGAGAGGATATCCTCAATCTTCTTAGCTGTTTTTTGAGCTTCACTGAATTATATAGAATGCATGGTGAAATTTACGCTTGCTCCAACACTTACCCTATTGGAAAAAAAAGTTGAAACTGAGATTTCTCTGCATCGAAGTCTTTTGGATCCATTCCTGCTATAGCGCAATTGTACTTTGCCTGCAGTCCAAGCATTAAGAAAAAGACGTAATTCACATTACGGCTCTTTAAATATTGACCAACCTGTACATCATTTCTTCCTTTGAAATACTCATCTACAACTTTTACGAAATCCACGAAATCTTTGCTCGGATCTTTTCCACAAAATGTCACATTCCCTATCATTCCCGAAAGCATCAATGCTGGGAGCATCTACAGTCAGACATATCCGCCAATTAGCTTGAAAAAGGCAAGACTTACCGCAAAAATTGTTATGTGCGGAAACATTTTTGAACATTCAAAGCAATGCATCCTTTTATGTGATTGCAAACAATGGCCGAGTGATACAGCCCAGCAAGTGCACTGCACTTCTGAAAGACATAAAAGTCGCCAGATAAGCGTTTAAGCACAGAAAAAAAATGATATCCAATATAATGTTAAAGAGTGTGGGTGTCAGTTTTTGTTGAACGAGCATATATCATGCAAAAACATAACTTCTTTCAGAATCAAATTTTTCTATAGTTTTAGTTTCTATGTGTTGAACAGTTCTTTAGCCATCAGGGGATAGTAGTTCTTGCGAAGAACCCTGTTAAAGAAGAAGCAAAAACTCAAAAAGTTTAAAGCGTTTTTCTTCAAACGTGCCTTTTTTTTAACATGGCAATGCTTCCTTATGAGAAATGACACGCATATTGATTAGCCATGGGTAGATAGAGAAAATTTCGAAGATCATTCTGCAGCCTAAAAGCGCCCATGGTATCCTCGATGTAGAGAGATTTATTTGACCGAATCAAAACGTAGCCTTTTTTCAACCTCGTTTCAGAACTATGTATGCCGACTTTCTTATGAAAATTCTACACCTGCCGCGAAGGGTGAAAAGTAACTTGTGGCTGGGTTATGCTGGTTTTTGCTTTACTCTAGCACCTGCAACATTAGACTCATCATTAGCTCTATTTACGGAGAGTTATTGCTTGTAGAATTTTTGTACAAATAATTATTCTTCAACAACAAATTTTACCAGCAAGACGTTTTTTTTAAATAAAAATGAGTTTGTGCATATACTGGACTGCTTCACCCTTATTCCGCGACTAACTCAAGGGTTTGACTTGGAGACCATACTGTGGAGATTTTCTCGCAAGAACATTTTCTAGGCTGAGAATGGGTCTCGGCATCTGGGGATCATAGCCTGCAATCTCGTCGGACTAGAAATTTTACTAAAATATGACATGTTTCAGAAAGAACAAGAAAAGCGTTTTCAATGGTCCGATTATTATCGCATTACGAGAGAAAATCTCCTAGAACGGCTGCTTTGAGCACAAGGCAAAAAATCGGACAGAACTTATGCAGCAGCCTAATATATCGTCATTACAAAGGTATGAACAGTGAACAGTTTTCTCTTTTTGATAGAATTTTGTTTCTCGTACGCTTTGTGCGGCAGTGGAGACCGATGTCCAGCAGTTTGATCACTGATCCTAAAATAACTTGGTTTATAGAAAAATGAATAGTTCATCGTACTATCACAATGTAGACTAGCGCGGTTATATCTCGATGCCGCCTCGATTTCGTTGGAAACATACTGTTTGTATGAAAACACTTTTTTGGGGATTACATTAATGTAACTTTTTCATTCCTTCTATGCCATAATCTCTGCGCGAAACCTGGCAAAAAATGCCATGAATTAGTGAATTTGGAAATTTTACTTATTTACAATTCAGGTTCCCACTGCCAAGCAGTTTTGATATCTCCACAAGCGGAAGAAAGGTTTGCATTTTACATTCAATGAAAAGCATTGGAGGTCATCTGTGGACAAAGAAGTTCCAAAAAATACATTTTGCAAATTTGCGTTGCTTTGAAACCATGCTGGATGCAGTGAAAAATGCTCTTACTTTCTCAGCTACCTAAAAATACAGCGCTCTAATGCTTTAAAAAACGGGGTGAGTGTCACACTACACGGCTGGAACGTGAATCCATCGCCAAAATTTCCATTTCGATCATTACAAATCTATTTCGCTTTGCATTTGAAGGCATTAGTTAATTATTCACATTTTTTTTGCTAATCTATGAACGTAAAGCTTATTGAAAATGACCGATCATGACTTATAATAAAGCGCTAGGCGTCTGTCCGTTTGTCTGTATGTCTGTCACGAATTTCATATAGCGAGGTGCAGCCAACATCTTGAGTTAGAACTTTTGTCAAAGCACCCTGTTAGCGGGTAGGTAAATTGTGCAAAAGCACAAGGCGATCCATTGAGTGCAACCATAGAAAACTGTGCGTCAAACGAATTCACGCGACTTTTGGCCCTTCCAAAATGGGTTGGTAATTGGACTTTTTGCAAAGTCGAGGATTTGTTCAACAAGTAAATACAAAAAACATTGACTTCAGCCCGAAAAGTAAGCAAAAGTCTATTTTTACGCAAAATTAGCGCAAAAAAGTTGCAACTGCGCGAATTGTCAGTTTACCAAATTTCTTCATAAATTCATAGGATTTTTGAATAGATATGTAGCCCAAGGTGATTGTTATCCTGATCTCAACTTTAAAGCCAAAATAAACTCAATAACCCATTCAAAATAGCATTTGTTCTTCTACAGGAAAATTTTTCTCCCGAAATCACCGACCTTACATAGAAAAGCTTTAAAAAGAACGGCGTTTACAATTCATTTGTGGTGATCGGCATCGCACGGTGAATTTCAAAGTCGATATTATGTCACAAAGAAGGCGTACGATTAGTAAAGCCAGTACCAACCTCTGCGAAGCAAAGGTGACGCACTTGTATTGCAACGTGACTTTGCTGCATGCTTTCTCAAACGTGACACGGAATTGACGGGACTTCGTTTTGAAATTTCCCTGGTGCCGGCACGTGCCGAGCGCTGGTGTGTATCATTTTGCTGCTCTATCAGTGATGAAATGTCAAGTTCGCTCGTAATCGCATTGAAAAGGCTCAATAGACCACGTTACCGCAAAAGCCAAGTGCATCGTCGATATCACTGGCAGACACAGCTGATGGAGAGAGCGTTAGTTCAACTGCAGTGTCGCTTATTCTACCGAATACTTATTGAAAAAAACTTGAGGAGTTCTTATGTTTTAAAACTAACAGTGTTGTTACAAACTATGTAAATCCTCTTACAAAAATGTAACGGTTTATCCAGAGCAGAGTGAGATGATACGTGCAATTTTATGCACTTGGTATTTGTATGATAACATCAACCTCGATATTTAGCAAAATTGAGCAATAGGAATCATAACTGCTCACGGCCGCTAAATCTTCAACGCGTTTCTTTGCTAATAATTTTTTCCATTCAACTAATGTTTTTGAAACTATGGCGAGCATGAAAATTCTGTGCACTTGCGAGAGATACATTTTTTGCAGAATTCTCTAGTATGATTGCCAAAAATCTTTGACCATTCTCATTTGCCTTTCTTAACTAGTGTCATCACTAACTCTTAAGTTCGACTTTTCAAGATGTGTGTGCTTAGAAGGACGATCTTGCACTCGATTTTCAGTTCTAGTTCAGTTGATGTATGCTAATTGTAGGGAATTGAAATCAGAATTCAATTTCCGAAAGCGTCACCTCGAAATAAAAACCTTCAGATTCTAGTTGGTTCTAGTAAAAAATCCTTGCATACGTTGTAACGGTCAAAAGGCAGACGATAACAATATCAGCTTTGTGCAATGGTATTCGTCAATCTTTAGAACCAACTTCCACCCCTTGAACAACTCGGAGAAGAAGGAAACCTCAGGATAAATGTCACCATTGCAGGCACACCTTGTATGCAGCTTGCTGATCTCAACTCTGGTTACCCGAATTGCTGAGCGTCTTGAGAAAAGTTATGGGATTTTTTCTGTGTGTAGCTCGCGTGCTCACCGAGCTGTTCACCTAAGAGATGTGCAGCAAAACGGACAAAGCGCAAGTAAAACCTTGGGCTAAGGGCATACCTCACGCGATTTCAGTCGCCACGCGATCTGGCAATACTCCAATTGTGCATAATTCATCGTAAGGGGTTTCTGCGTTTATTTACAAACGATAGAGCATTTTATCAGTCTACCAAAGTTAAACATGCTCTGCATTTGGAGTCTGTCAGTACTGCATTTATAGACATCTGGCAATTTGCCAGGTCGCGTGGCGACCGAAATCGCGTGAGGTATGCCCTCAGCCTTAGACAAACATGCACTTTTAGGTTTTTGAACTCCATTCCAACGATATATCTCATTTTTTATTGCTACCGCTAGCACCAAGTATTCTTTTTTGTCAAAAGTGAATGGAAATTGCTTGAGCACTTTTTTTTATCGTACATCAGCTTCTGCTTTATTCATAGTTCCCACTCAATTATTTTCGGTTGTCGCAAAACACAATATGTTGATGGTATTTGGTGAATTCTTGCACCAATATATTTGGAATTTCCTTACTTTCTCAAGCTGCAATGCACCTTTCTGATTTGATACAAAATAAAAAAAAATCCTTGTATTTTCCGCATGTGCTTGATTCAAAATCTTTATTAGCACATGAGTAGTAGAAGCTGACTAAAATAAGAAGAATCGAAAAAGATTTTTCGATTTTTGTTTATACATTTGCTGTAAATTTTATGAAATCTAGATTTGTTTTTAATCTCGGCTCTATGAATAACCTTTTTTGACTGATAGATGTCGGTACTGATTGGATTTTTCCAGGAGTAGCTTTGAATTTCGATTTATGACTTATTGATTTTGCTTATATTATAAAATGTACCATAGAATACTACTTTCCATGTACATATTAAAGAGCATATTACGCACATTATTTAGTCTGCTAAGCATTTTTAACAGATTTTATTTACTTCTTGTGCAAAAGATAGGGATCAACCAGTGGCGTACCCAGGATTTCGGCTCGGGGGGGGGGCGCGACAAAAAATTTTTTCTAAAGAAGGTGCGTGGCGTTAGCCACGCACTCCGAAAAAATTTTGGGGGTGCTTCTCAAAATTTTTTCGGGTCCCCGACCCCTAAAATCTGGAAAAAGGGGGCGTGGCGTCAGCCACGCCCCCGAAAAAAATTTTTTTACAAGGCTAATTTGAATTTTTAAAAATTTTTAAAAATTATTTTAATTATTTACAAAAATAAACAAGTCACTTGCACATTTTTATAACCCATATAAGTAACTTTCAAAAATTTCGCGACCCATTCTCGGGGGGGGCGCGCGCCCCCCCCCGCCCCCCCCCCTCGGTACGCCACTGGGATCAACTA